GCAAAGACATGGATCTCCTGGATAGCCTTAAGATACTGTTGGGGCAAGTGCTGTCAGCGAGTGGCACCTATGAAGGCCGGTACGGCACAAGGGGGGAAGTCCAGGACCATTTCAGATAATCGTTACTGTTGTTGGTCACTGAGTCGGCATGCACACACACCCCCTATGGCCACACATGGGTCGACCCCCTCCCCTCCTCCTCACCTGTGGTACAGCATGGCCAGGAACTGGACAATGAGCATGCTGGAGAAGGTGATGAGGAACATGAAGGCGAGGGGCAGCACGTCGATGACCGTCCCCTCGTTCTTCGTGCTCGGGATCTGGATGTAGAGGTCGGCTCCCACGAACTGCAGTGCCAGGGTCGCCACCAGCCACAGTGCATTGATCATGAAGTAGACGAAAGTGCCCTGCACGTTGGGACAGACAGACCAGGCCTGATTTACATTGCATTGGCCGAGTGGCGGGGGGGATGACCCCGGGCTGTTTATGGATCCCCTCTTTGTGCGTTCATTTTTCTCCCCCAATGTCCACTCTCGACGCCAAATGGTCACTTCTGTTGTTATTGTTTTATTGTTCATGTATTTTACAGGATTAGCGGATTATTGGAACAATTAACAATTAATTCGTAGGAATAATAAGGCATAGGTAATTCAATGTCGTTTAAATCTTCTTCTACCACATGCCAAGTACGGTAAGTACTCGCTTAACGCCTGCTGTTTGCACAACGCGTTGTCGCTGGAACGCAATTTTTCTGTTATCGAAGCATCTCCGGTACTCGCGATGACGCGTTGCCAGTATCTTGTTTCTTATCTCGAAGAGTTCCTGCTTCACGCGTTTCCTGTGATCGTCATCTTCCTCCAGAGGCTTGAGGTAGTCACTGATCATGCTCTTCCAAAACTCGTCTTCCTCCTATACATTCCCATCCACGGGACAGAAGGTTCACTTTGTGCGATTGTCCAAATAACAACAACTTACTCCGATGAATAATATTAATATGGTAATAGTAATAGGTTTTACCCTTTTAACTGGCACAAAAACTGACACCTTTATTCAAGGCATCGTGTTTGCAATAACCACAACACAAGCAATCAAAATGCAAACAAAAGAGACAACTCTGATAATAATATGCACTGTCCTTGAATTTGATTGGTCCACACCCGAGACGGCTTTTCTTAGAGCCTAGTCTCCACTGGTGTTAAATGCTCACCCCGAGCCCTCAATACTCTGATAGTGCGCTGTTTTTGAGTTGTACGCCTTTTGGCGTCTTCTGGTCCAACACCAGTGGAGACTAGGCTCTAAAAAAAGCCGTCTCGGGTGTGGAACAATCAAATTCAAGGTCAGTGCATATTATCAGAGTTGTCTCTTTTGTTTGCATTTTGACTGCTTGTATTGTGGTTATTGCAAACATGATGCCTTGAATAAAGGTGTCAGTTTTTGTGCCAGTTAAAAGGGTAAAACCTTTTACTATATCTTGTTACTGGCAAAGGAGGTCTCATAATGTAAATGCTCACCCCGAGCCCTCAATACTCTGATAGTGCGCTGTTTTTGAGTTGTACGCCTTTTGGCGTCTTCTGGTCCAACACCAGTGGAGACTAGGCTCTAAAAAAAGCCGTCTCGGGTGTGGAACAATCAAATTCAAGGTCAGTGCATATTATCAGAGTTGTCTCTTTTGTTTGCATTTTGACTGCTTGTATTGTGGTTATTGCAAACATGATGCCTTGAATAAAGGTGTCAGTTTTTGTGCCAGTTAAAAGGGTAAAACCTTTTACTATATCTTGTTACTGGCAAAGGAGGTCTCATAATGTAAATCCTCACCCCGAGCCCTCAATACTCTGATAGTGCGCTGTTTTTGAGTTGTACGCCTTTTGGCGTCTTCTGGTCCAAGGAGGTCTCATAATGAAAATATTAATATTCTTGGTTCTTTCGGTAAAGTCACGTAGAAGGGAAACAATAAAATAATAAAAATTTTAAACAATAAAATTCTTACGACATTTCGACTGCAACACAAGAAATCATCATCAGCTGTGAAAACCACAGCAAGAAAATTTGAAAAAAGTGGCGGTTTTATTAACGTTAGCACCACGTAGAGCGATTTTACAGTTTGTTCAGATGGACGAGTCCATCTATGTTCAGAAAAGATGAGGGGGGAGACGAAAATAATGGATGCGGTCTGAAAGCCACCGTAAGCGTGAACAATCAATTAAGACCCGAAATGGTTTATCAAATCCTTCCAATGATTGCTAAGCCAGAATCCATCTTCTCGGTTGAAATTGTCTCTGTGTTTGTATATGTGGATAGCCTCATGAACGAATCTCTCATGGTAGCCAGATGGCTTGCAAATAACCTCTGTCTTTGAGAAGTCAATGTCATGTGAGCCTACTGAATTATAACAGTGATCTGCCACGGCCGAGGTATTGGTCCTACCGTGTTTTAGGTCTGCTTTGTGTTCACGAATGTCGTTTGGTTTCTCTAATGTAACTACTACCACAGATAATTTTGTTGTTTTATATTTTTATTATTTTATTGTTTCCCTTCTACGTGACTTTACCGAAAGAACCAAGAATATGAATCCCTGCAGTCACGAAGGCTTTAAATCAAAATTAATATTAATGGTAATTTGTAATGCCCGATCACTGCACAGTTATTTGCTCGCTTTCGACGAGAGACATAGGGAGGGATTCAGAGACACGAGGAGGAATCACATATAGATGGGAAGGCAGCAGCAATGCACACCATGAGACGGTGCTACCAACAATTGCCCAAGCTCTGCAGTCCTCTGCATATAAATGTGTTCTCGGCCAATTAATGATTGTTCACATGTGGCAGAAAACCGGAGCAACCGGAGAAAATGCACGCGTGTGAGGGGGCAACATTATATCCTATACAGACGGAACAGGTGGATTCTACATTTGCTGTACCACCCGCTCCTGGCAAGCCAGAGTGCGGCTCCTTTCTGACGCCCACTGGAACTGAAATTCACGGCATCTTCTCAGTGTGTGATCCACCAACCACGTGTAGCACCAGCGTAGCCACCACCACCTCCAAGAATCATGACATCACTTCCTGTCCACTGTCCAGAATTGTTATCCAAATTGCACTGTCCTTGCACGAGATAAAAACTGCGAGTGGAACTCTCCCAGAACAATGCAGTGAAGCCCTACACGATAACTAGTGTTAAGGTACCTTTTTTAAAGTCTCAAAGCCACACATTAGAGGAGCGCGCCACTTGTTTGATCGTCACAGAAAACGACACTCAGTCAACTGACGGCAATATTTGGACATCTGGCCAATGCGTTGAACAATTAAGCGAGACAGGCAGCCGGGGGAGGGGAATGATGACTTCTAAATTAATTGAGTTGCTTAGTACAAGATCCCCAACATTAATGTAAAATCTTAAACGTAAACATCTCGATATTATTTTGATAGATTTATTTATTTCAGTAGGAAGGGCCCAATTAGCTGCCAGGCAGTTTCCCGATATATTTTCTTCATTAAAGTTGGTTGTTATCTTCTGGGCACTTATACACGAACTAGGACAAAGATCAAAGATCACCCGTGTAGTCTTAACAGACTGCTGGGGCACGTGCTGTTAGCGACCACCTCTGAAGACCAGCACGGCACACGAGGAGGTGGGTGGCCAGCACCACGTCCGGCCACCTTTGTCTCTTCAATTTGGGATATTTATACACTACACCAGGTACTCATTTGAGGCTGAGTCGACCTAGGAGAGACATAGGACCGGTTCAGATAATCGTCACTGGTGTTGGTGACTGAGCGGGAATCGAACTCAGGTCGCTCGTTTCTAAGCGCAGTGTGTTAACCACTGCGCCACCACTCCCCACAACGTATATGTAGCACACGTACAAAGACCGACACAGACATAAAAACACACAGACATAAAGACACACAGACACAAGGACGCACCTGATCGAGGCTGCACCTCTGCGTGATGGCGTAACCCTGAGGCAGGACGTTCTCAAACATGACCTGCATCTTCTGGTGGCGCTGCCACACGAGGTCATGGCGCCCTGCAAAGGACAAAGGAGGATAGCGATGTGCGGTGCACTCCCACAGAGGCTCGGGAAAAAAGTTTACCGTGACTCAGCGAAGAGAGCTGCGCAGATGGTAGTGATTATTCTCATCGTTAGGCTGGTTTAGCCTGCAACAAAGCCTGGCTGAGTCGCAGGGCTCTGTGTTCATGAGGGTCTTACCAAGTTACCGTAGTAGAGGGGTGATGTTGCTGCTGAGTGCGGTCCAAATTAAGTGATTTGCAGTTATCTTTTTCAGAAGTGTAAAATTTTGGCCAATACCAATGACACATTGGAGGAAACTGGAGAAAAAGATGCCCATGCAGAACAGGGGGAGAGAATTCCTCAATCTCCCACGGTTCTACTGCAGCAGCAGCAGCAACATGCCCTCATTACAGAGTGCTTGCCACAAATGAATCACAATAGCTTGCTAATCTCGTCTAGGAGCATTAACCATCACTCACACTTCGTTTATCCATTCATCGAACAAAGACGGTCACCGTATCGCGTGATTTCAGATGCGCGGTCTTGTTAACTGACAAGCAACGACTTCGCATTTAATTTTCGATTTAAAGCTTTCGTGACTGCAGGGATTCATCTTCTTGGTTCTTTCGGTAAAGTCACGTAGAATGGAAATAAAATAATACAAATAAAACATAATAAAATAAAATTCTCACGACGTTTCGGCCACAACTCAAGTAGCCTTCTTAAGGTGAAGGAACAGAACTGTCGGGACGACAGCGCTTCAATGAACGCTGCTAAGATTCGCAGCGTCTTTTAAGCTAGGTGGGAGAAGTAAAGCGCCTTGACAAAGGTGTTTACATATCAAACAGGATAATTTAGCATTGAAATAGCGGTGTTAAAGTGTTGGATCAGCAGGGTGTTAAAGTCAGAAATTAGCTTGTAACTGGGAGATTAGCATGATGTTAATGTGAGGGATTAGCATGTGACTGGTCACGGAAATAGCTATGTTAAAGTCGAAGTTTATATATCAACAGAGGATTTAGTATATGGACGCTAAAGGACTACAACTACCCAACTATCATACAATAAACCGATGTGAAAAAACTAAGTATAAACTACATCAATGTTTAACACGTAGGCTTTCGCGACCAATATTATTCATAATAAAGGTTTTTGGGTTAGATCGCGTTTATTTATAAATGTGTCGTAACCCTCCGCCACCCGACACGGCCAATCAGCAAAAAAAGTGTCACGTTGACAAAAGACAAATAATTCACTACTTCAGCCCACCGGTGTGTTGAAGAGTTAATCCACATTTACAGTTTGAGTACGACGTTTCGCTGGTAAATACTTCCAGCATCATCGGGCAATTCGCCAGAATGGTAAAGCCCTCGCTTGCTCCCGGTTTTATATAGAGCAGCAGGGTGACGTGATCACTTAACTCATCAGGTGCAGTGATTAGAGGCGGAGGGGGGGGGTAATGTAATTATATAATCGATTAGTAATCAGTCATTGGTTATGATTAGTAATGAGTTGTAGATTAGTAATTCTTTAAATCAAAATGTAATGTGTATTATTTAATAATACGCTTCCAGGCCACACTAAGCCGGTAGCTGTCAGAGCGATTAAAGTTATTCTTGTTCCTCTCAATTTCAATGGATTCTCTAATTAGTCTTTGCCAGTAATAATTAGTTTTACACACCACTGCAACATTGTCAAAATCAATTGAGTGTCCTTGTTGACAAGCATGTTCTGCCACTGCCGACAGTTGTGTTTGAGATAATTTAATATTTCTCTGATGTTCTTTTAGTCTTACGCTGATGTTACGTCCCGTCTGCCCAATGTAGCAGCTGCCACATGAACAATTAATCCGATATACACCTTCTGTTGATAGTTTAGGTCAGGGGTCGGGAACCTTTTTGACTAAGAGAGCCATGAAAGCAAAAAATTTGGAAATTTATTTCAGTGAGAGCCATATAATATATTTTAAAAGTGAATTCAACTAAATGTCAGTATAATAAGCCTCTGAATTTATTCTTTTAAATAATGTTGTTATAACACTCACCATTAATGCGACTTCTGGTGCTGCATGGATTTGCTGATGTCTTTGTAGTCGGGTTGGTACTTGGTGAGGTTAAGCTTCATGCAAGCGTTGAGGCTTTCATCCGTTAAACGTGATCGTAGGTTGGACTTGATGTTTTTAAGATGTGAGAATGACTGCTCACATGCATACGTAGATCCAAACATGGTCAATACAGCAATACTCACACGCTGCAGTGTGTGGTATGTGACAGGAAGCGCGTTCCAAGTTTTGAGAATCAGCTGGTCTTCGGGTTGGAGTTTTTTCATTTCTGTCCACATGTGCTTGCTCGCCAACTCCGCTTTCTGTCGTGTGATTCTTTCCAAATCTTCATTCAGTGACTTGAACTTATTCACCCACATGTCTGAGGCCTTCAGGTCAGCCACTTCTGCTTCAAAATCTCTGACGGAGACACCAGGGATGTAATTCAGGTCGGCTGTGTTCAGTGAACACTCGTTTGGATGGGTGATGAACTTAAAAAGACGAGTGTGCTCACGAAATTCTCCAAAGCGTGCTTTGAAGGACTGTAGGAGACTGGATGTGCAGCCAGCTAGCTGGTGGAGATCAAGGTTTTGAATGGGCTCACTTGCTGTGCATGCATCTTTAAATTGGCTCAGTTTTTCAAAATGTCGTAAACGACCTGTTTCAAGATCCGTGATGAAAAGCTCCAGCTTGTTTTCAAAAGCAAATACAGCTTGTTGAAGGGATAACACTGTATTTCCAATGCCTTGCATTTTCACGTTGAGCTGGTTCAGATGTTCAGTCAGATCTACGAGATAGTAAAACTTGAGGAGCCACTCGGTGTCGGCTAGCTCAGGATGCCCGACGCCTTTCATTTCAAGGAAAGTCCGGATTTCGTTCAGGCAAGCCGCAAAACGGCTAAGCACCTTCCCTCTTGACAACCAACGCACATTGCTGTGCAAAAGCAGACCAGGATAGTTATTTACAACTTCATCCAGCAGTGTTTTAAACTGGCGATCATTTAAGGCTCGGGCAACAATAAAGTTGATCACACGAATGACCAGCGACATCACTTCGCCAAACTGCCTGTCACACATCTGAGCACAAAGTGCCTCCTGGTGTATAATGCAATGGAAACTTAGGATGGGTCTATTTTCATGTTCACGGAGAAGTGCCACAAATCCTTTGTTTTTCCCCACCATACACGGAGCACCATCAGTACACACTGAGAGAAGTTTATCCATAGGTAGACTTTTTTCTTGAGCAAACTCCATGAAAGACTTGAATAAATCCTCACCTCTTGTGGACCCTTTTAATGGCAGAACAGCAAGACTTTCTTCGCGCAGTGTGTCACCAACAGCATATCTTGCAATCACGCTGAACTGCGACAAATGGCTCACGTCTGTTGACTCATCCAAAGCCAGAGAAAAGAACGGCGCTGCATTTATGTCCTTCACTTGCGTTTCCTCCACTTTGTTTGCCATCACGATGGTACGATCATGAACAGTTCTTGCCGACAGAGGCATGTCTTGTATCCGTTTGATTATCTTGTCTTTGTTCGGAAGATCATCAAAAAGTTCATTGGCTACATCCAGCATGAACGTTTTAGCATACTCGCCATCTGTGAATGGTTTTCCGTTCCTCACTATTGCTAAAGAACCAGCAAAGCTAGCCGAATTATAGTCACCTTGCCGGGTCCATACGCGGAGTTGCTGCTGGCTAGCTTGCACCCTGCTCAGAAGCTCTTGGCACGCTTTCTTTCTGCTGTCTCCCGCAGGGTATTTTGATGCAAAGGTAGCGTGGCGCGTGTCGAAGTGCCGCTTTACATTCGACCGTTTCAACGATGTAATTTTGTCATTGCAAATTAGACACACCGCAGAACCCGCTCTCTCCACAAAGGCGAATTCTTCGGTCCATTCGTCCTGAAATGTACGATACTCGTCGTCTTTTTTTTCTTTTCGCCATCTTCTTCGTCGAAGGGTTAGCTTTGAGCTAATGACCGAGCAGACGCAGTCTCAGACTGATTCAAAAGGGGGCGTTTACCTGTTTTACCCAGCAACGGCAAACGTAGGCCAGTATCATCCAATTAAAATAATGGACAATTGCTCCTGCAGCCCTGAACAGGACATGCGCAGTGAAAAATCGATGGATGGATTAAAACAAGTGAGAATATTTTGTTTTATCTGCGAGCCATATGCAATCATCAAAAGAGCCACATCTGGCTCGCGAGCCATAGGTTCCCGACCCCTGGTTTAGGTAATGCGTCTTTAGTGCAAGATACTAGTTTTTGAATTTTGTGTACTGTACCAAATCTTACTGTAATGTTTTGCTTTTGCAAAACGCGGGCTAATTTGTCAGTTACTCCTGAGATATATGGAATTTTTATTGTTTTAACAATCTGGTCGCTTTTAGTAGTATTGCTTTGCGATCGTGATTTGGCATTCAGTGCTCTGTTAATTTGAGCATTATTGTAGCCATTCTGTCGTAGTGCGTCTTTAACGTGTTTAAGAGAGCTGCGTGTTTAAGAGAGCTGCGTGTAAATAAGGATATCCAAATCCTAGCAGCTGATAAAGGCCGCACTACTGTAGTGATGTCACGAGCCGATTATGATAATAAAATTAGAAATTTACTAGAGGAAAGTACCTACATTAAAATTAAACGAGATCCAACTAATACTTTAGAACGTAAGACCACTGCAATAATTGCAAATTCATTAATCCCTAAAAATGAGCAATACCTAATTGAGCCAAGGGCCTCAAAACCACCTAGACTCTATGGGCTACCAAAGATTCATAAAATCGGCATCCCATTACGACCCATAGTCAGTACAATTGGCTCTGCCACATATCAATTAGCAAAATATATAACCAAACAAATACAGCCCTACATCGGTAAGACATCTTCATTCATAAAAATTCAGAACATCTTGTGAATGTGATTAAAGATATTAAACTTACTCCTGATGATATTCTGGTAAGTTTTGATGTGATTTCTCTATTCACTAAGGTTCCAGTGGACGAATCGCTTAAATTACTTGATACACTAGTAAAGAATACCGGTTTACAAAAAGATATTCCGAAACTTGCTGGCCATTGTTTAAATAACACTTACTTCTTATGGAGAGGGGATTTCTTTAAACAAAAGGAAGGAGCAGCAATGGGTTCTCCTTTATCCCCTGCTATAGCAAATTTGTACATGGAAAACTTTGAAATAAGAGCACTTGCCTCGAGCACATTAAAACCATCCTTTTGGTTTAGGTATGTGGATGACACTTTGGTTGTCTGGCCACATGGTAAAGATACACTTAATGAATTTCTAAATCATCTCAATGCACAAAACCCGGCCATCCAGTTCACCATGGAAATGGAGGTGAATAACACACTCCTATTCCTAGATATTTTGCTTGGACATGGCCTAAACGGTAAAATAACACACAGTGTTTACAGAAAGCAAACGCACACTGATGCCTATCTGAATGCAGAATCACATCATCATCCAGCTCAAAAATCCTCTCTTATCAAGACGCTCGTACATCGGGCGAAAACAGTGTCAGATGGTGAGAGTCTAGTGAGAGAGATTAAACACGTTAAAGACGCACTACGACAGAATGGCTACAATAATGCTCAAATTAACAGAGCACTGAATGCCAAATCACGATCGCAAAGCAATACTACTAAAAGCGACCAGATTGTTAAAACAATAAAAATTCCATATATCTCAGGAGTAACTGACAAATTAGCCCGCGTTTTGCAAAAGCAAAACATTACAGTAAGATTTGGTACAGTACACAAAATTCAAAAACTAGTATCTTGCACTAAAGACGCATTACCTAAACTATCAACAGAAGGTGTATATCGGATTAATTGTTCATGTGGCAGCTGCTACATTGGGCAGACGGGACGTAACATCAGCGTAAGACTAAAAGAACATCAGAGAAATATTAAATTATCTCAAACACAACTGTCGGCAGTGGCAGAACATGCTTGTCAACAAGGACACTCAATTGATTTTGACAATGTTGCAGTGGTGTGTAAAACTAATTATTACTGGCAAAGACTAATTAGAGAATCCATTGAAATTGAGAGGAACAAGAATAACTTTAATCGCTCTGACAGCTACCGGCTTAGTGCGGCCTGGAAGCGTATTATTAAATAATACACATTACATTTTGATTTAAAGAATTACTAATCTACAACTCATTACTAATCATAACCAATGACTGATTACTAATCGATTATATAATTACATTACCCCCCCCTCCGCCTCTAATCACTGCACCTGATGAGTTAAGTGATGACGTCACCCTGCTGCTCTATATAAAACCGGGAGCAAGCGAGGGCTTTACCATTCTGGCGAATTGCCCGATGATGCTGGAAGTATTTACCAGCGAAACGTCGTACTCAAACTGTAAATGTGGATTAACTCTTCAACACACCGGTGGGCTGAAGTAGTGAATTATTTGTCTTTTGTCAACGTGACACTTTTTTTTGCTGATTGGCCGTGTCGGGTGGCGGAGGGTTACGACACATTTATAAATAAACGCGATCTAACCCAAAAACCTTTATTATGTACATCAATGTTATCAATGCACTCTATATACTCTCCAATCAGCTGAGCTACTAACAATAAGTCGTTATACATTACAATGCCATATGGCGAAAAAATGGGTGGCGTTTTTTTCTTTTCAACGTTAGCACCACGGAAAGCGACGAGCTTTGTTCAGACGGACGAGTCCATCTATGCTTGGAACGGAGGAGGGGAGAGAAACATCCACGATGCGCTGCTCTGTCCTGTGTTGCGTTACAACTATTTTATAAACTAGACTACAATACATTGCAATGTTATACCTTCCAATCTAAACTACATTGTATAATATCGTATACACAGCCCAATGTAAGCTCTAACATTATGCATTATATTGATATGTCTCCAACTAAACTTTTTTCTACATTACACGACTATACACCGTAATATACACTGCCATAGACAAACCCACCCTTGAATTATACAATGCGTTACTATACACTACCCTATACTTTAGACTGTAAAACATTAGACTTTTAATATTACACTCTATTATTCTACCAACCCTACTGTATACCACACTGCTGTATATTCACTATACAATTACGATACTATATATTGCCTTATGATTTATGTTAAACATTATGATGTTATACTATTTATTATTATACAACATACTATAAACCATACCTTTGACCGTTGTGTGAACGGTATTAGAGGCAGTGCCAGCGAATTCACCAAAGTTCCTGTACCTGACACCATCGCAATCATTGAAGACTTGGTTCATCAAGGACTGCATACTGATGTACCCCTCCCCTGGTGAGACACTGCTTAACCAACACATACTTCACCTGGAATGGAACTTTCTACAAACAAACTGAGGGCACCCCAATGGGCACCCCCCCTATCTCAGGTTGTAGCCAACGTTTTCATGGAGAAATTTGAAACTGACGCCATCCAGACTGCCACTCTACGCCCGACCTTATGGAAGAGGTACGTGGATGACACTTTTGTCATCTGGCCACATGGCCGGCCTGCTCTAGAACAATTCCTCGACCACATCAATTCCATACACCCAGCCATCAGATTTACCATGGAAGTCGAAAAAGATGGCAAGCTACCCTTTTTGGATGTCCTAATTAAAAGGAGACCTGATGGTTCAATGAGCCACTGTGTCTACAGGAAAGCTACGCATATGGATGTTTACTTAAAACCAGATTCCCACCACCATCCGTCCCAGAAGAACTCCCTCATCAAGACTCTATACCATAGAGCCCAATGCATTTCCGACCAGGAACACATTGCCAGTGAACTCTAGCACTTACACCAAGCTCTCAAGGCTAATGGTTACTCCGACTACACAATCCGCAAAGCCATCACTCCAGCCATGAAGAAGGGTCCTCTTGAGGAGCCATTCAAAACCATCACCTTACCCTACATTGCGGGGGTCACAAAGAAGATCTCCAAAATCCTGAATAAACACAAGATCCAGGTCCGATTCAACACAGTACATAAAATCCGTGATCTGGTTCCGTCTGTAAAAGATGTGGTTCCAGACATACAGACATACAGTACCCGGGCGTACAATGTAGCTGGTAGCAGCTACATTGGAGAAACCAAACGACATATCTCGGACCGCATCCGTGAACATAAAGCAGACTTGAAACACGGTAGGACGAACACCTCAGCCGTGGCAGATCACTGTTATAATTTAGTGGGCTCACATGACACGGAGGTTCTCTGCAAGCCATCCGGCTACCATGAGACATTTGTTCATGAGGCCATCCACATATACAAACACAGAGACAATTTCAACCGAGAAGATGGATTCTGGCTTAGTAACCATTGGAAAGACGTTATAAACCATTTCGGTTCTTAATTGATTGTATTATACGGTGACTTTCAGACTGCAGTCCATTCCCTGGCATTGCCTCTAAATACCGTTCACACAATGGTCAAAGGTATAGCATGTTGTATAATAAATAGTATAACATTGTAATGTTTAACATAATTCATAAGGCAATATATGGTATCGTAATTGTATAGTGAATATACAGCAGTGTGGTATAGAGTAGGGTTGGTAGAATAATACATAGTGTAATATTACAAGTCTATTTTACAGTCTAAAGTATAGGGTAGTGTATAGTAACGCATTGTATAATTTAATGGTGGGTTTGTCTATGGCAGTGTATATTACGGTGTATAGTCGTGTAATGTAGAAAAAAGTTTAGTTGGAGACATATCAACATAATGCATAATGTTAGAGCTTAGATTGGGCTGTATACGATATTATACAATGTAGTTTAGATTGGAAGGTATAACATTGCAATGTATTGTAGTCTAGTTTATAACATAGTTGTAACGCAACACAGAACAGAGCAGCGCATTGTGGCTGTTTCTCCCCCCTCCTTCGTTCCGAGCATAGATGGACTCGTCCGTCTGAACAAAGCTCGTCACTTTCCGTGGTGCTAACGTTGAAAAGAAAAAAACCGCCACCCATTTTTTCGCCATATGGCATTGTAATGTATAACGACTTATTGTTAGTAGCTCAGCTGTTTGGAGAGTATATAGAGTTTATTGATAACATTGATGTAGTTTATATTTTAGTTTTTATTAGTTTACTATATGGTATTCATTATATAGTGTAGTGTATACACAGTTACTTTATGTTAATAGCTCAACTTATTGAAGAATATATTGAGTACATTTATTATATTGATGTAGTTTATACTTAGTTTTTTTCACATCGGTTTATTGTATGATAGTTGGATAGTTGCAGTCCTTTAGCGTCCATATACTAAATGGCCCTGTTGATATGTAAACTTTGATTTTAACATAGCTATTTCCGTGACCAGTCACATGCTAATCTCTCACAATAACATCATGCTAATCTCCCAGTTACATGCGAATTTCTGACTTTAACACCCTGCTGATCCAACACTTTAACACCGCTATTTCAATGCTCAATTATCCTGTTTGATATGTAAACTCCTTTGTCAAGGCGCTTTACTTCTCCCACCTAGCTTAAAAGACGTTGCGAATCTTAGCAGCGTTCATTGAAGCGCTGTCGTCCCGAGAGTTCTGTTCCTTCACCTGAAGAAGCCTACTTGTGTTGTGGCCAAAACGTCGTGAGAATTTTATTTTTATTATTTTATTTCCATTCTATGTGACTTTAACGAAAGAACCAAGAAGACTTTGTCTTTGTTTGATGAAAATATTACCTTTGGTATGGAGGGCGAGGTCTGTGTCTGATTGCTCTGGAGGTCGACTTTTGCTCTCTACTTCTGGATGCTCTGTCTGAGTGCTCGCGATGTCTTCTAGTCTCGTCTCTGCTCCTTCTGAATGCTCCATCTGAGTGTTTGCGATGTCCTCTTCTCTCGACTCGATCTCTGCTCCTTCAGGATGCTCTGTCCCAGTGCTCGCGATGCCCTGTCGTTTCTCCTCGCTCTCTACTCCTACTGGATGATCTGTCTGAGTGCTCGCGATGTCCTCTGGTCTCGTCTCTGCTCCTTCTGGATACTCCATCTGACTGTTTGCGATGTTCTCTCCTCTCGACTCGATCTCTGCTCCTTCAGGATGCTCTGTCTGAGTGCTTGCGATGCCCTGTCGTCTCTCCTCACTCTCTACTCCTTCTGGATGATCTGTCTGAGTGCTCACGATGTCCTCTGGTCTCGTCTCTGCTCCTTCTGAATGCTCCATCTGAGTGTTTGCGATGTCCTCTTCTCTCGACTCGATCTCTGCTCCTTCAGGATGCTCTGTCCCAGTGCTCGCGATGCCCTGTTGTTTCTCCTCGCTCTCTACTCCTACTGGATGATCTGTCTGAGTGCTCGCGATGTCCTCTGGTCTCGTCTCTGCTCCTTCTGGATACTCCATCTGACTGTTTGCGATGTTCTCTCCTCTCGACTCGATCTCTGCTCCTTGAGGATGCTCTGTCTGAGTGCTTGCGATGCCCTATCGTCTCTCCTCACTCTCTACTCCTTCTAGATGATATGTCTGAGTGCTCACGATGTCCTCTGGTCTCGTCTCTGCTCCTTCTGTTTGCTCCATATGAGTGTTCGCGATGTCCTCTCCTCTCGCCTCGATCTCTGCTCCTTCTGGATGCTCCATCTGAGTGCTCGTAGTGTCCTGTTGTCTGGCCTCAATTGGACGCAGCTTCATCTCTCTGTCGAGTTCCACCGTGCACGACTCCACTCGGCTGGGAGGGATGTTGATAAACTGTTAAACTAAACCATTATTTTTATTTTACCATGTAAGGCCCACTGAGCTATAAAGCTTTTTTGTAGAATCGACCTGAATATCACAAATTATAACTCAATGAGCAGCTTATCACGTGGAAATTACAGCAGCCAAATACTCTAATCACATGATGATTCTAAATGAGGAGGGAAAAAATCAGGGGACCCGGAGTAAAATCCACACCAACATGGGGAGAGAAAGGGATAGACGCAGACTCCATATAGGCAACAGGCATCGTCAGGTTTGGGATCGAAGCCACTACCTCCTGCAAACTAGGGGAGGTAGTTAACATCTAGCCACCACGGCGCCTAAGATACAAGCACAACTAGAATCACAGTTAATAAGTTGAGACAAGACTCAGTATTGACTTGAGTAAAATGTTACGTTGTAAATCCTCCTCCACCCGACACAGCCAATCAATAATCATAATCTGTATTTCTACTGCAGGAGGAGTCCGATGAGCTATGAACCTATTTTCACAGATGTCCAGTAGGTGTAGGGGATTAGAAAGTTAGAACATAAAACGATAGCAGTGCTAAGTATAGGAAAGATAAGAAAATAAATAAAGTATATGAGTGCAACTTGCATGAGTACATCAGTTACTGCCAATTTTTCAATACTAAATGCATAACTTGGGGCAAGGCAGCAAAACAACAGTCCCAAACCACACCAAGATAACACAGTCCCTCAATAATATGGGACATAAACGTTGAACTATCGATACACGAGAGGTAAGGATCAAAGTTAAAAGCATGGCTACAGGCTCTCAGTGAGGTGGTGGCACCTTGAACTGTCATCCTCCTGACTCAGTGCCGAGTATTTCTTCGGATGGACGCTGATCCTCCACTGGAAGCAGTCCCACTCGAGTGGCAGTATACAGCATTTCGTTCCATTCAAACGATGCTTGCGTTCCTTCTTCTGCTGGGACAGGAGGATGGGCATTGTGCTGAAGGCAGGGTCCTTCAATGATATCAAACCAGCGGGAAGCGCACACAAGCTGGAAGGCAGTTTCAGCTGCTCAGTGAACTGGCGCCAATAACTGTCCAAGCTCTGCGGTCCTCCATGTATGAAGATTTTATTGGCCAACGGGAAACCAGAACACCATGGAATAGACCCACAAATGCGAGGGGGAAACATTGCGTTCTATTCAGATGGAACAGATAGAGTCCATAATTGTCATACTACATTCTCCTGGAAAGTCAGTGAATGACTCCTCCTCGATACCCACCGTGTTGGATTAATGGACACGAGTGGCACAGCCACCACCACCGTTCTTGTCAAGAAACATAAACGATAATTTTGCAAGCTCCGGTCATCCTCTCATCAGTGGATTTTGGCTAACCATTGAACAAAGACAGTGACCACATCGCGTGCTTTTGGGTGCGCTTGTGCGTCCATCTGGAACCCTCTTCCTTCCAATATGAGAAAGCAATTGGAGCTATGCACTTTTAAATCATTACATTGAAAACTAATTTCTTAAAAACTGCTCTTTGTGTTTAGAAACTTTCCTTCCTTCGCACCTCCAATTAGCACAGTTGGCTACACATGGTGTGAAAGAAGTTCAACATACATACATCTGGACCAGTCCTTGGCCTTCCCTCAACAAGCCTCAAAAATAGCCAAATGTGATGTAGTAAACATGACAACAATGGAGACAAAGGCGGCCGGGCATGGTGCTGGCCACCTACCCTCTTATGTGCCATTCCGGACTTCACAGGTGCTACTCGCTAACAGCACTTGCCCCAACGGTCGGTTAAAAGCTATATGGGGGATCGCTGCCTTCGTCTTGGCGGGGGTTGGGGGCATATGTTACACTTTTTTGCAATGTACGTAGCCAATCATGCTAATCGGAGGTGCGGGACGGAGCAACAGAGGAGAATGGAGCGAAACTCCAAATAACGTTCGACACAAAAACAACAACGACAATAACGATAACACATAAAGTAACTCACCTCCTTAGGGGAGGGCTCAGTAGGCGCCTTGGTCTCACGCGTGCCCCATGATACGTTGTACATGTTGACCAATGAGTAGATGAGCAGCAGCAGGTATCCCGTGGGAATGCAGATGAGGTACAAGAATCCGTGCACGATGCAGAAGAACTCGCGCGGGTGCAGCGCCGCGGCGATGAGATGGATGCCCGCGAGAGTGATGAAGAAGATGCTGCTGGGTGTGAGGATACCGTTCTTGACAATGTCGCCGACCATAGCGAGCAGCGTGCCCGTCATGAGGAACATGTAGATCACGGTGAGCACCATGGCCACCTTAAAAAAAATACCAGGTATAAAGCTCTTTTCAGAAGCCACCTGGCCACAAATGATAGATCAACGAAGTGGCTCATCACGTGGTAATGTATATCAGCAGCCAGATTAAATGCAGAGGGAAGATAGAGAGAACACGTGGACTCCAAATACATAACAGGCGTTAAGGTCGGGATAGGGATCGAACCCACGACCTCCTGTATACCATGCGAGGGAGTTTACATCTCGCCATCGCAGGAGGAGACCTTAGCCATCGGCGTCACCATTGTCCTTTTTGTCCAACCACCACCACTTCTTGGGAGTTACTTTGCATTTATTCCGCACTTTTCCACAAAGTCCTCAAGACCCTGCACTTTGCAAACAACAACAAAATAATGATAGCTCATTGTTCTTCTGGGTTCTTTCGGTAAAGTCACGTAGAATGGAGATGAAATAATAAAAATAATAATAACAGAATAAAATTCTCACGACGTTTCGGCCACAACACAAGTAGCCTTCCTCAGGTGAAGAAACAGGACTGTCTGGAAGACAGCGCTTGAGTGAACCCTGCCAAGCATGGCAGCGTCTTTTAAGCTGTGTGGGAGGAACAGAGCACCTTGACAAAGCAGTTTACATATAAATTAGCATGTAACTGGGGGATGAGCATGATGTTGGTGTGAGGGATTAGCACCACGGAGAGAGACGAGCTTTGTTAAGACGGACGAGTCCATCTATGTTCAGAACGGAGGAGGGGGGAGAGGAGTTTACATATCAACAGTAAATTAGCATGTAACTGGGGGATTAGCATGATGTTAGTATGAGGGATTAACACCACGGAGAGCGACGAGCTTTGTTCAGACGGACGAGTCCATCTGTGTTCGGAACGGAGGAGGGGGAGGAAGAGGAGGAACCCTCAAGACCTTGGGTTTTGGGGATGCCTTTGTCCGAACGATCCGCCTACTCTACACCAAGGCGGAGTGCATGATCAAGATCAACGGCGCCCTCACTGCCCCGGTCAAATTCGAGCGAGGAGTGAGACAGGGATGCCCATTGTCGGGCCAACTTTATGCCCTGGCATTAGAGCCTTTCCTGAATCTCATAAGGCGGAGACTCAGCGGCCTGGTGCTGAGGGAACCAAGCATCAAGTTGGTCCTGACGGCATACGCCGACGACGTCCTCCTCATCCTGCGCTCCCTGGCTGATGTCGCCCTGCTGCATGAGTGCCAGGAGGTCTTTTCGAAAGCCTCCTCATCAAAAATGAACTGGCAAAAGTGCAGCGGCCTGCTGGTTGGAGCGTGGGACATGACTGAGTGTCCCGAGAAGGCAAAAGCCATCAATTGGAGCACAACATCGCTGCACCACCTGGGGGGGTTCCTCGGACCAGAGGAGGAACCACCGCAGAGGAACTGGGTCGAGCTGGAGGAGAAGGTGAAGGAGCGGCTGGCCACCTGGAGTCGCCTGTGCAAGTTCCTCACCTTCAGGACAAAGACGTTGGTGGTGAACCAGCTGGTGACGTCCATGCTGTGGCACCGACTCTTCTCCCTGCACCCCCCCATGAGCCTTGTCAACGCACTTCAGAAGCAAGTCCTCGACTTCTTCTGGTCGGGTGGAGGACATCGGGTCGCGGCTGGGGTCCTGGCCCTGCCACTGGACGAGGGCGGTCACGGGCTGGTGTGCGTGCGGAGTCAGCTGGCCACCTTCCGACTGCAGGCAGCGCAAAAGTTCCTGCACGCCGCCCCTGCACCGGCCTGGAGCGTCACGGCCTCCTTCCTCCTGAAACAGCTGGGGGGTCTGCAGTGCTCCAAGCAACTATTCTACATGGACCTGCAGGGCCTCCCACTGGGACAGCTGCCACCCTTCTACAGAAGCGTCCTGCAGACATGGAGCTCCCTCGCCGTCAGGAGGCTGAACCAACCGTGATCGGCTGAGGATCTGGTCTTCGAACCGATCCTCAGGAACCCACAGACAAAGCTGCCATCCACCACCACCACCCCTGGCATGGAGAGGCGCCTCGCCAACGCGCGGCTCACCAGGATGGGAGATCTGGTGGAGCCTGAAACACGGGGCCGGTGGATCGGACCAGCAGACGTGGCCACAAAGACAGGGCTGCAGTCGCTCCGGGTGGCTGCCCGGATCCTGGCCGAAGCCAAGGGGGCCTTCTCAGTGGCAGCGGGGAGAACGCCCCCCATCGGCGTTGGGGATGACGAGGCCCCTCTCGATCCCCCTCCACCGGAGCTCTCAGTCGTGCCACTGCATCGCCAATGCCGACAAACGAAGGCGGATCACAACCTGTGCCGGCTAGAAGACCTACCGGAGGTGGCCTTCGCAAATGTAAAGAGGAAGGTGCTCTACTCCTACATGGTCCGGTTCCACCAACAGGACACCCTGAGGAGCCACAAG